AGGATGAAGTCGTGGACGGCATCGTCGTGGTGTGGGCTAGCCATTATCGTGGAATGTTGGTGAAAACTTTGGTTTGCTGCTCGGAGGAACGAGGAAGTTTTAGTTTCTCACAGACGGCGCCACTGATCTGACCTGATCAGAAAGGGATTGTTGGCTGCCACACGTCTTCGACTTGTTGCTTGCTTAACGGTATTGAAGAAGTGAAGGGGGGTGTACCTGCAAGACACTCCGATGCTAAAGTAAGCGTATGGGCAGAGTGATCACAAGTACAGAAAAGGGGTAAGAAGTGAATTACCTGACCCTCTCGTGAAAGAAGGTATTTATAGAGAGACCCTAACGCTAGGCCAACGGTCACTTGTGTTGGGCTGGATTGCCAGGCCCAACCCAGGTGACTGCTAGGGCCTACGTGGCGTAGTGAAGACCAGGACGTGGTCTTCGCCCTAGTCCAACTGTCTCGTGATCTTCGGAAAGTGGATTTGACCTGCTCTTTCAGAGATGGGCAGTTGGTCGGTGACGTGTCCCCGCGGAGAGGAACACGTGGAGAACGTGTGAAGGATACATTGTCATGCCCGACAAGGGAGCGGGTTCTGCCCGCGGAAGGGCACGTGCTGCCCGTAGAGAGGGCAGTGTCTGGTCGACGGGAAAGTCTTGTGCTCGACACAGATGGGGTAGGTTCTGCCCGCGGAGGGCATTACCTGTCCGTCGAGAACCTTGTGCCCGGAGGCTGCAGCCCAAGTTGAGCTGGGCTTGACAGGATATTATTGGGCTGGGTCTGCCTGACCAAGTCGGGACCCAGGTCAGAACAATTACGTTTTGATATCAAAATACCATATATGCAATTAATATCAAAATACACACGTAGATGCAGCCTTGGACTACTCCAACAAATCAGTGGATAGAAAGTGGATCAATGAAGACTAGGAAGTCCATATTACTCACGTATATTGAAAAGTCAAGCAGATGCCATTTCAAAACTCAATTTGAATCAACCTTGACTTGTGGCATTAGATGATTATCCAACAGACTTGCTGCAGTAATCTTCAATAATATTGTAAATTCTTTGTTTAGTTTTTCTTTTAGGGCTTAGGCATTCTTTAAAAAAAATCATAGAAATAATAATAAAACTACGTGTTGATCAAAGAGATACTTCATTATGTGTTGGAGGGTGTAATAGCTTACAAGTGTTTTCCTCATGCAACAATCCAATCCCATATAACCCTACAACACATCCCACCACCACTCTAATTCACCTTTCTAATAAAACACCACCCACTTAATTACATAGGATCATGTTTCTGTTTACGTAATAACCGTGATTACGTCGAGTAAGATCGAAAGTCATCCGACACTTTAGATAAGAGTTGGTTAGTTTTTAATTGGTTAGTTTTTAATTGGTAAAAACAGCGAAAGCGCTTTATTAATTAATTAGAAAAGTTTGGTATTATTAGAAAGTGATTTTAAAACTATTTTCGGACGCGTTTATAGATTTAGGATCCGGTTGGCCGAGCATATGCTGGAAACCCTTTGATATTAAAAGTTTCCAATCAAAGACACTTTTTAACTGAGTCTTAGAGGTAGTTATATAAAAAAGGACTTCTTCACTTTAGATGCGACCGGTGCAGCGTAAGCAGCTGGTATAGATTAAAGATCAGGTTCGGTTCCGATTACGCTAACGCGATAAATCCTTTTTAAATAACTTTTTTTCAAGAAAGAAAATATTGCCCCATAATTATTACTACTTAGATAATATGAGTATTGTTTGGTTGATGAGAATTCCATTCCAGTATGCCTTATTCTAAATTTAAATTCATTTCTTAATTTTTATTTTCTCAGCGCGTAATACTCTATGTTATCATTAGCTTTAGATAAACACGGTAACAATAGTAATCGATAGACTAACATTGATCTCCGTGGAATCGATAATCTTTTATATTACTCTGACGTACTCCGTATACTTGCGGATATCATACATCATGTGACACCGATTTAAATAACCATTATGCCGAGACCTTGATTTCCGAGTTTGTGTAGTAGTCTCTTGAGTAGTTTATATTAGCGGTTAACATCATCCTAAGGCACGCACTAAGTAATGAACCGATGCAAATATGTGGTGGTCTCAAAAAATTGAATTGAGTTGTTTTATAGAAAAGCGAATGAAAAGATTTGTTTCCCTCTAAGTTAGGTGGTCCTCACCCAGTCATTTAGCCCAACGGATCGGATTCTTGAAATTCGAAAGAAAAAAAAAGATAAAAGAGAGAAAGAAAAGAAAAAAGAAAAGAAGGTTGAATAACGAGACCAAGAACACTAACAAGTTCACTTACCATGCGAGTGCAAGGATAACAAGCTTAATGTGATCGTGCGAGGACGAAAAAAGAGGGAAAAGGAAACGAGAAATGTAGGTCGATTCATAATGGTATGATTTGGATTGGTATCGCATAAGGGAAAGTTTTTGTCCGCATATGCAGATATGTGACATTACGGTATCCTTGTTGTCGATGTTCAGTATCTATCCTTTTAGCATTAACCTAGTAGTCGTGTACTGTTTTAGAGTCATGTCGTGCCTTTGTTTCAGATATTTCATTTACTGTTTTGAACTGTGTTGGGAGTTTGCTTGAGGACAAGCAAAAGTCTTAGTGTTGTGGAGTTTGATAACAAGAAATCGTGTCATATTTTTAGGCTCATTGCGCGTGTTATTTTCTGTATTTTATCGAGTCTTGTATGTATTTTATCGTTTTTTATTGTGCTTTACAGTTAATAGGTTCACCCGTTGTGGAATCGGAAAAGAGCTAGAAAAAAGAGTGGAAGAATAGGAAAATGCAGCAAAAAGAAGTAATTTTTCCTCTTTTGCTGATATGGTGTTCGCCATTTATCAGTATGTCACGTTAATTAATGAACTGAGGCCATGGTGTTTGCCATGCCTCAATCGCGTTCGCCATGTCAGCGCAACTTTCGTTTTCAAATTCTGCAACCGTTAAGTGCAGTTTTACTTTCCCTTTTTCCCTCTACTTAGCAAGCCACGTCCAGGGCAGTTGCAGGTCTCCATTCCTCTATATAAAGGACCTTTTGGACACTCTCCAGACACCCCGAAATCTTACGGAAGCGCTGCAAAATTTCGTTTAGAATCTTAGACATAAATTCACTTGTAAAGCGACAATTACTCACACCAAGGAATTGTCACACCTTTTATTTTTATTGTGTTTTAACTGTTGTACATTTGGATTCTCGAACAAGCCTGCCGACAAATTTCAATTCAAGTTTCGTATTTTACTCCACAGGTTTATTTCTTGTTTTTACTATTGCATTCGTGTTTATTTTAATTTTCTTTACGATGTTAGTTTTGTATTCAATTACCGTTAACATGTTTACTATGAATAATATCATGTCTTGCTAAATTAATCGAGTTCGGCGTATGAGGATCTTCGTCATCGACAGTACTCCGTATAAAACTTTAGGTACGAAATTATTGATTGAATGTTGGTTTTGGTTTATGTTTCCAAACTTTCATGTTTTATTATTTCGACACGAAAGTGAGGAATAAACTAAGTTCGGACCGATAGCGCGAGAGTGTGAGGAATGAACTGATAGTGGAAACTAGACATCAATCCTAAAAACAGGAGAGCGCTTTAGGCATCGTTTAGGATTTTATTAACTTTCAAAATACCCTTTTCAATTGAAACGGGCGAGCGAGAGCAAAACCCTGTGGTTGAAAGGTATGGTTCTTGTCAATAGCGCGAGAGTGTGAGACGAAGTCTTTAAGTTAGTATTTTTTACGGAACTGAGTTCAGTCGTAATTAGCACCTGATTTCTACAAGTACTTTAGGCACGCGGAATCCATATTCCAGACTCGTTTTATTACTAAAATTCAAATCTTTAGAATTTGTGTATCTTTCCGTTTCGTAACGGTGAATCTTTAGCCTTGTCTTTACACTGCAACAATAGATAACATTAGTTTGATTATCACTTCCTTGTGGGATCGACAAATCTTTTTTTTAAAACTACGCGAACAACTATATACTTGCAGTCATTATCCGACAGACGCTTTAGTGTCACGCTCGTGACATGCATCATTCCGGAGATATCAAATGACTCCTACTCCGGCGGTTCTACACCTGGGCGATTGTTCAAGCTCACCGATCTCACCCCCTCGAAGATATCATAGACGAAATCCACTATCTCCTACCTTACGGAGACAAATGGAGGATTGTGAAGTTCGAGTACCGTTCACCTTCGGTTGACATCGAAGGAAACATCATGTTCAACAAATTTGAGCTCAAGACTCGAGCGGATGTTAGGACTTGTGAGATACGTATTTCGGTTTCAAAGAGAAAGTTCCATTAGAGTTGAAAGCGACGCTACAAAGATAAATAAAAAATATCGTAAAAATGTGCAAGCGTCCACTAAAATATTAAAATATAATATTTAATCCTCGGTTAAAATCATCATTATAATAATTATTTTATGTTATGAATATCAAATACGTTTTAATATCAAATACGTTTTAATATCAAAATACCATATATGCAATTAATATCAAAATACAGACTTAGATGCAGCCTTGGACTACTCCAACAAATCAGTGGATAGAAAGTGGATCAATGAAGACTAGGAAGTTCATATTACTCACGTATATTGAAAAGTCAAGCAGATGCCATTTCAAAACTCAATCTGAATCAACTTTGACATGTGGCATTAGATATTATCCAACAGACTTGCTGCAGTTACTCTTCAATAATGTTGTAAATTCTTTATTTAGTTTTTCTTTTAGAGCTTAGGCATTCTTTAAAAAAAATCATAGAAATAATAATAAAACTACGTGTTGATCAAAGAGATACTTCATTATGTGTTGGAGGGTGTAATAGCTTACAAGTGTTTTCCTCATGCAACAATCCAATCCCATATAACCCTACAACACATCCCACCACCACTCTAATTCACCTTTCTAATAAAACACCACCCACTTAATTACATAGGATCATTACAGCAATAGAATATAAATCACCATGTCATCCTCATCAATCCCATCACTAATCTCATCCTCACTCCTAAGAAAAACAACCCCCATCACCAAACCTCTCTACACCACAAACTCAAACTCTAGAAAACCTCTCCCCATCATCAACACCATCACCATGTCGAGTCTTTCCTCAAATAATGACAACAACACACCCGACTACCCGGGAAAAGCCCCACCCGAAATTCCAATCATACCCAAAACCGAACCTCCTTCAGTTCCTAAAGAGAATCCAACCATTCCTACCCGTGAACCCGAAATAGACCTGGATGTGCCACCCGAGATAGTTACTAATCCTCCTGAGTTCATACCGTTTCCGAATCCGAAACCGAAACCGGAAGGTCCTAAACCTCCACTATCTCCTCCGGGACAAGATACGCCGTTCCCAATACCTGATGTTGTGCCGCCTCAGCCACCTGATGTTGTTCCCCCGCGTCCTCCTGGACCGGATATCGTTCCGCCGCCATGTATTCCGCCGCCACCAACCGGACCAACTATGATATAAGAGTTAAATTGGAAAATGAATGTTTATCTATGCATATAAACGCAGCAGTATAATAGCAGTATATCTCTTTTTTTTAAGGGATTAATAGAGTTTGTATTTATTTATTTTCAACATATATATTTTTTTTATGTCATATTTAAGATTGTTTACAACTTCATTTATTAAAATAAATAAATCACATTTCCACACCAACAACATACGGGCTATAACTTCAAATTTTGGTTAATTTTACTATTTAATATTTATAGGTTTTTAATGTTAATATTTTTTATATATTATTTATTTAATGTTGATTTATTAAATATCAATTTATTGAATTAATTAAGCTCATCCAACATTTTTTAATCAATAATCCAAGGGCATTTGATTGGTAGAGGTCTCTTCTTGTTTAATCACATGTCCTTGGTTTGAACTAGGCATACAGCAGTCTTTAATTTTTTTAAAGATATTAAAAGAATTTTAATAACTCATGTGATCAGATCATTATGGGTCTATAACCGGTTAAAGACATGTTAAAACATCAAATAATTTGAAGTGTTAAATTTTTTAAAAGATATTAAAAGAATTTTAATAACTGAAGTGATCCCATCATTATGGGTCTATAACCTTTTATGGGTCTATAACCTTTTAAAGACATGTTAAAATATCAAATAATTTGAAGTGATTCTGGCGTTTGTGTAATCAGTTACACATCACTACCAATTTATCTGTAAGTGTTTATATAGTTTGGAGCAGTTACACATCACTACCAATTTATCTGCAAGGGTTTATATATTTTGGAGGTATTATTTTTAATTCTCAGTTTATTTTCTAAATTTTCCTCCTCCCCTTTCTCTTTCTACATTCAATTTCTCTATTATCTCAATTTTGTAGTTTTAAGTTCTAACATTTAATGTTGGTTCTGATTCATAAACACTTAGTGTAACATAAATTTTGACTCGAATAAGACTAGCGAAAATAACTTAGATCGATTTGTCTTATGTGAAAACAAATCATCTAACACTCGGTGTGTAACACTCAGTGGGTAACATGAATTTTGACTCAAATAAAAGAATTGATGAATGAAAACGTATATAAAAATCGTTTGGCTAACGAAAATAACTTAGATCGATTTTTCTTATGTGAAAACAAATCGGAGATGATGATAAGCAACTTTAATCAATATGCTTTAATCTTAATTACTAAAAGGCTATTTAACAAGCAACTCTATTTTTAATGTTATATCAAACAAAAATACAATTAAAACAATTTATCAAACACCTTGTGTGCAACTGATTATGTTTGAGATTTTGTATAGTTTTGTGGATTTTTAATTCCAACCACAATCTAAATGATCGAGATCAATTACATAAAATGCTTTTCAAAATAAATTAGTAAACAAATTAATCACACTAACGATGAACACGACAATTTGTAAATGAAATATAAAAGAGATACAAAGAGTACATAAGGATATGTTTAGGCAATTCACCAATCAGCCTCGTTATGGGTATGTCTTTCCTCAATTTGAATTCGAATTGAGATCATGTAATTAGCTTTAGTTTGCAAAAGTATTTTTACAAAAAAGTTGTAGCAATGCAACCAAACCCTAATCTTGATGTTGATTATATCAATTTCTCTTCCCATGATCTGAGCTTGATCAAGTCACCCAACAATGCTAATTCGATTCACTGTCTCACACTACTCCTTTGCAAGAACAACATTCATTCAAAACCTTCACTCGATCAAATATGAATTACAACCTATTGTAACCCAAGATTGACCAAGATGATCCACCGTCTCAAGCTACTGCTTTGCAAGAACCACATTCCTTCAAAGCCTTCACTCGATCGAATCCAAACCTAGGTAATCTTGTCCAAAATCTTCAAATCCACACTTTGATCTTGAAGGAAACCTCCACCTTAGTTTTCTTTTTTGAAACCCCCTAAGATCTCGACCGAATTTACAATACCACAAGTTAAATTGGACCTTATCAACTTGATTCTATATGGACGCCAAACAATGAATGATTATGTGTGCGTTGTTTGTTGTATGCATAAAACTAAGATTGAAGAAGATGAAGAGTCTTAGTATGTTCCAGGTATCTTTATAATTTTAGAAAAAAAATTGAAAAATAATGATGCATATAGCAGGTATGTGTATATATATATATATATATATATATATATATATATATATATATATATATATATATATATATATATATATATATATATATATATATATATATATATATATATATATATATATATATATATATATATATATATATATATATATATATATATATATATATATATATATATATATATATATATATGTTAGGAGAAAAAAGGAATGCAAAAGATTTTAGAAAATTATGAATTTTTGAAAATTTTCGTTGCATAGGTCGACTTATGAAAATTATGTGCTGACTTGTTCAACACATAGGTCGACCTGTAAATGTCATATGCTACCTATTTGTCGACCTGAAGAGGCGGCACATGGAACATAACCTACAGGCTTTAATATTTCAGCATGAGTGTCGACCTATAGCAGAAAAATATTTCTATTGGTTGACCTATATATGTATGTGTCGACCTATAATGGACTTTTTCACAAAAAATATTTTTCATGCATTTTTTATGCACGAGACCTTTTTCATCTTATTTTCAAATGTTTTTATGCTTCCTAATGCTAAGATGCACATTGAGAATCAGAGGATACAATCCAATATACATTATCGCTAAACTATCCTAGTTTTGACATTATGCAAAATACATCTAACGGAAATTTGCACTCACAAACTCCTATTTTTTGATGATGGAAAAACTTTAGACGATGTGTTTCATGTCTTTTTAAGGACTCCCCCTGAATATATGCATCCCAACTTCATCTTGGACGAAGCTTCTCCCCCTTTGACAGCATAAAAAAGAGATAAAGCAAGTCATGAGATGTATCTTGTAACATACATTACCGAAAATACGATACATAGGCTATTGCAAAAGTAATATCATCAATATCACAACACTCACATAGAATGATGTATATATTGTAAAAGAATACCGAAACATAAATACAAGCATATAAAGAAACCATATAACAGGATTGCCACAACTTATGTCAAATAACATAACACAAACATGAAAGATGAAGGATACAATGTAATAAAAACTCTTGAGTTGTTTCAAAGATGACACGATAATGTGACATATGCCTTTAGTGCTCCCAAAATGCTACACATGCATGTGCTCTAGCAAGGCGATATATAGATTTACCACCACTCAAACCAAAAACATAGATATTATCATAGCAATGACACACCACAAGAATTTTGCGAACATTATAACAATTTCAAACATATTTCATGTTGGAATAGATAAACAACGCCATCACATATATCATGTAGGAACTTAATGATAGAGAATATGCTCATACACATGCACCAAATATCAAGTATGGAGAGAGAATAACATGATGTCACTATAAACATATAAATTTAAAGACATCAATTAAGATATTTGGAAGTGAACTAACATGATATACTTCATACATCAAGATATCAAGCATATGGACCACAGAAAACATGCAAAAGTAAAAGACTTACTTTCAAAGGGAGAAAATGGAACGAAATTACCTTGCTTATGATCTGATTATAAATGCACTTGTATGTAATTGAACTTTCAAGGAAGGTTAGAAAAAATAGTATAAAATGCATGCAACCACTCATATTTACGCAAGTTTGAGATATCAAGTATCCCCAATTCCCTTCGAATGTTGAAAAACGGTTAGGTTGCAAGAGGTTTTGTAAAAATATCCCCAAGTCGATTTTTGCTATCAACATGCTCAAATATGACATCCCTTTTTTCAACATGGTCACGTAGGAAATGGTGATGTATCTCAATATGTTTAGTGCGAGAATGCAAAACCAAATTTTTGGCTTGATTGATAGCACTAGTGTTGTCGCACATAATAGGAATACATTGTAGTTTAATGTCAAAATCAAGTAGTTGTTGTTTGAGCCACAAAATTTGAGTATAACAATTACCTGCTGCGACGTATTCCGCCTCGGCAGTCAACAAAGCAACAAAAACTTGTTTCTTGTTATGCCAACTAACTAAGGAGTTTGAAAACATGTGGCAAGTCCAACTAGTATTTTTCATATCCGATTTGCAACTGGAAAAATCGGAATCAGTATAACCAACCAAATTATCACTGCTTCCCTTAGAATACGAAAGTCTATACTTAAATGAACCATGAAGGTATCTAAGAATGCGCTTTATCATTTTTAAATGTGATTCCTTATGAGCCAATTGATAACGAGCGCACATACACATGCTAAACATAATGTTTGGCATAGATGCCATTTAAATTATACTTTATAATTTTAATAATAATCATAATACTTAGTCATTTAAATTTACTCTATATTTTAAAAAAATAAATATTAGTTCTAAAAAACTTGTTATCTTAAGATTAAGAAAGGTAAATGGATAACAAAGTTAATAAAAATAAGAGTAATAAAGTAATTTTAATATGTCGCAGTTGGGCAGAGGTGGGTGAAGGGCGGTTATTAGCATCCCCCGCCTCCGCCTCTGCCACCGCCCCCGTAATTAAAAGATGGATTTTTCGTGCGTTCGTTCTCATATAGATAATCTTTTCTCCATTAAAAGGGAGTCACAAAAAACTAATCATTGGAACCCAAAGGACCAATAGTCGATCTACCGCTATCTAATGCTACTATGTAAAGATAAAGCTAATGGATTTCTAAATTTGGGATGCGAGAAATAAAATAAGTGCGAAATTAAAATCAAATTAAATTAAGACAATGCGAAATATCGGTATATAATCCTGTCAATCATCGGGGGTTCGGTAATTCGTGGGCGTTTAGTTTAAAAGAAAGAATTGTTATTCTGTAGAAAATATTCATTTAAAAGGCCTTATCTCACGCTTTCATGGTATTGACTTAGACTATGCTCTCAAATTAGAATGCGGCTTTCGCTCTCTCATCTTGCATTTAA